GTGGCAAACGATAGGCAATCAGTTCGCGGACGAAATGACTGAAACAAACCCATTCTGTGCAGGGCGTTCTGTAGGTAAGCGGTGCCTGCTACGAAACTTTCAAAAATTCGTAGTTGGGTTCCAAAAAAGCTCGGAGAGTGGGAGAAGTGGCAAACGATAGGCAATCAGTTGGCGGACGGAATTAATGAAGCACACCCCTGATGGGCGGAGCGTTCGCCGAAGTGGACGATGCCGAGGACGAAAACCCTCGAAACGCATCCGAAAAACCCCACGAAATGGGGAGTGAGCTGAAACTAAGCAGTGCAGATGAACATAGTGAGGGGATAATCGTAGGGAGTATACCAAATGGTTGGTACCGTCGGCAATAGTTTGCAGTGCCGCATAGAAAATTTTGATGTCTACTAGGGGGGTATATACTAGAAGTGAAACGGTAAAGTGCGGTAATTCTCAAAATAATATTTCTTTCGACCATTCGGCCGGCGAAGCCGATCCGACTGGCCCTCCCTCACATGGAAAACTTCTCACAGGGACCCACTTCACACGCGGAAGGAGGATACTGGTTTACAGTAACTCATGAGTAAATCGATGATGTATCTGTGGGTTACTCTGCTGGACTGATGTCGTGTTCAGCGCCAGAACCGCCAACGAAGGTGCTTATGAGGCAGAACCTGCTCGTTCTATGTGGTAGCAGGACTGATGAGTAATCTTGTTGCTTTTCCTTGCTTGGGCTTTTTCTCGTTTCAATCGAAACATGCGCAGGCAAAGGCAGTAAACAGTAAACAGCAGTGCGATAAGGGGACAATAATCAGCCGAGCCGCTCGACGTGAACGTTCCGCCCCTTTTGCAGCCTATATAAGTCCCGATGAATGCAGCAGCAGCATGAGCTCGCTGTTTTTGCAATCCTCTAGGCACATCTTGCTCTCTACCTCTTTCATCCGACTCTCAGCTCTTGAGAGTTTTATTTACATTCGCTAAAGTCAGTCCATTTTCAGAAATCACTTAACTACAAAACACTTGCAAAATGAGTCACAACGAAGGAATGTTTGCTGGCGCAGGTCATACAGCCCAGGGGATGTCCGACAAGACTGGCGAGATGTTGAGCGATGCTGGAAGTGCAGTGAAGGATACCCTTGCATCTGGTTATGAGAAGGTCAAAGATACGGCAGCTTCTGCTTACGAAACGGTACGTCCTCTACATTTACAACTACATGCGTTGTAAGTAAAATTATTGTTTAGGTTGCCGGTAGCGCCAGGGAGAATTATGACGCAGCTGGTAGGCAGATGGAACGGGGCAAGGAGTGCGCGGGAAATAAGGTAAGCCTTGAAACATATTGTGCTTTTCAGTTTGAATTATTGTAAGGGAATTTTTGAAAGGAAGGATATTTTAAAACTAACTTTTCAGGCTAACGAAGCCCGCGACTATATGGGCCAGAAAATGCACGAGGGAGGCAACAAGATGTCCAGTTAAGAAGGCTCACTCTGCTTTTCTGTATATTCTTGTATTTAATGACTTATGTATAGAGTAAAGCGCTCGCTTTCTATGGAAGCTCATGTATTTAACGGATAACTCGAGTAACGCAAAACATTCTCTTTTTCATGGTGTTGTGAAATGCTTCGAATAAAAAAGTAGATTTGGATGCGCATGGTTGAGGGACAAGGCGAAGAGAAGCCTCAAAATTAGTAGGAGGAAATTTGTCCTTTGCTGCGAATGTGCTCAACAACTAGTACAGCTCCTGGAGTACAGGAAGCACCAGGGTAGCGAAGCAAGCCGCTGATGTGAGTGATCGTGAAAGTAGTAAGTATCGGTTTGAAAATGGAGTCGCATATAGCCGACCTCGAGTATAACAGTCGACCTTGAGTATAACAGGTCTTCGCGAAGCACTGTGAAAGAATGGTTACGAGCCTTGTCAATAGTTATTCATGAAGTTGTAATGAGTAGAGCTGCCGATCAACTGACGCAGAATCACACCGCCAAGGGCACAAGGAACGATAATTTGGTACTTGGTTTTGAATTGTAGCAGGGCTAGACAGTGGGGAAAGTGGGAAAGTGGCGAAAAAGCGGGATGAAACAGTCAAAAACCTGTAAAAAAATCCTTTGTTCTTCTTGGAAAGCAGGTTTGGACGAGTTCCCTGTTGGCCTTCGTGCCTAGTATATAGAGCAGCATGGCACCGCTTCATATCAATTCCTTCGCTTCATATTGTACTTCGCAAATGAAGCTATATCAGGTACAGTTGTCCTTTTGTGCGTGGGCGGGTGCGAAGGCGGGTCCGTATATTGCAGCTTGATAGGACGCTATAAAAGCACCTACAGTTGAAAAGGCGAAAAGTAGCGCCTGCTCAAGAGCAGTGGATTCTGTCCTGCTAGGTGCATTGATCCTACCCGTTTTGAGGATTTATCACACCACTTGCCTTTAAGCCATGTTTCACTCAACTTTGGTTATGGTGTGGTGTAGCTGACCACGCAGGCATGGCTGAGGGAACCCTTCCAGGTTCAAGTTTTGGAGGAGTTATCTGGGAGTGGACATATCTCAAACAAACTCGCACAAACTTACAGTAGAACAAAAATGAAGTAGATCGAGAATAAATTTCACGATACAGCGATATCAATTAATCCGCCCCTCCCGTGCCGTTCATATCATCACAATCAGTCGGGGCTGTATCAGGCGACATAGACTGAGCCCTCTCACAGCACTGGTTTTTTCTTCCTGAATCGGTCACCAACCGGTCATTAGTCGTCGAAAACTTAGCAGAAGGCGGCTCATACCGTCTTCCCCTAACACCGCTCCGACCGGCTGACATGACATCACCTATATGTACGTGAGGAGAGCGCTGGATATCGCAAGTAACAGAAACGATTGGTGTGGTCAGGTAGTGCAGTGATTCCCAGAAAACGTGAAATCTGGACTCGAGTTCCGGCGGAGGCACAGTGTTAGAGACTGCGAGATCACTAATCAGAATAGGCTACCTTGAGGTACAGGCTCATGCAGGGTAGTGAGCTTAAAGGCAATTGGCACGATAAATCCCCCAAGACGACTAGGATCAAAACTCATGGCAGGGTAGAAT